CAACAAAGGAGATAACCGCCCGCATTTCCAAGGTTCGAGCATCGTACGCCGGATTGAAACACCTTTGGCGTAGACGCGACGTTTCACTGAAATTGAAAGGTCGTGTATATTGTGCCACCTTTCGTTCAGTTCTACTTTATGGTTGTGAGACCCTGAATTTGCGAGTAGAAGATATCCGTCGACTAGAAGTTTCCGATTATCGATGTTTACGCAGTTTAACCTACGTTGGATGAAACCAACGGGTTAGTAACGTGGAGGTAAGCCGCCGTGTGCTTGGGAGTCTATCAGGTATAAACCTTCTGGCACACCGAATTCAGATCACTAGACTTCGCCGGCCACGGCACGTATTGCGTATGCCCAGCTGTCTGTCTGCCGCACCTCGCTTTATTCGCCGTAGCTAATTCGGGCTGGAGGAAACCGCGTGGAGGTCAACGGATGATGTGGAGACGATGCATGAAGAAATGCATAGAGCCATTAGGTAGAGTAGGTGTCTCTCGCCTTCCAGGTTAGGGTCCGAAAGACTCCGCAACTGATTGATTGGAGACATTGAAGGATATGACAGCGAACCGGCAGCAGTGGCGTTCGCGTTGACACTTCTTATCAGGTCACAATTCTTGAACCGGTATGTATGCAGAGTTCGATTGTGTACTCTGTGTGTTGACTATGGTGGCTCACCTTCTTCTCCCTCCCTCAAAATAGATCCAATCCCTGTCCACCTTAAATTTTACCACAACTTGTATACATTGCGAGTTTGGTAGCGGTCAGTGAAGTTCGCTTCACTGTATTTCGCTGTACGATGATGATGAAGATGAATTCCCCATCTCCATTCCTCCTTTCTACTCAATCAGTCGCTGCCTCCAGGATCCCAGATCTTGACTTTTCTTCGAACATTGAACATTTGTTTGCAACCGACCCCAACTGACATGTTACCAATTTGGGAGATTTTAACTTTCACAATCAGGACTGGTTGACACATTCATTTGCTAGTTCTTCTTTGGGGCGCGAACCCGAACACTTCGCTTTGGTCAACAACCTGGTCCAGTTAGTTGACCTCCCCACACGTGTCCCTGATCGAGCGAGCGATCGTGCTCACACCCTCGATCTCATTCTCACTTCTATCCCTTCTTTGTTCTCAGATATTGGTACCCTCCCTCCTCTTGGCTCTGTTGTTTCTTGTTTAATTAGGTTTACCAACCCCTAGCCACCACCCACCTCGAGACACATTCTAGGGCTACAACTCAGCCAACTGGGACGGTTTCCGTGATTTCTTAGCTTCTTATCCCTGGAACGATTGTTGTTTCTCTTCGGATGTTTCCAAATCTATTTCCAACTTCACCCACGTTGTTCTTCAAGGTATGCATCTTTTTATTCCGCACTGTTCCAAACCCGGCAAACCCAAATTCCCCGGGTGGTCTAACGATGCGTGTGACCGTGCTGTACGCCTAAAACTGTCATCCGCTCGCCGACTCCCACCATCGCTTCGTGCAAGCTAGGAACAGATGCTCGACGACCATTCAGATAACCAAAGAACGCTTCGTTCACCGTAAAGTCGATTTTTTAAAGCGAGTAAAGTTCAGTTCATTTTCGACAACCCATAACCTTTCATCATAACGCGACGGGTTTGGTTGTTATCTATCGGCTACTTATTTTGTCTGTTTACTGCTATTATTTACGTTAATGTTGAAAGAAAGCAAATATTGCAAGGTGTTGAAAATTCGTTTCATGTCTTCAATCGCTGACATAAAATACTGGTATGTATATAGCATTAGGTTAATTAATTAATGTGGATGAACGAGTACATGCAAACAAAGTTGCCAAAAATAGAAGCGAAACATCAACTCCATTGTAAATAGTATGATTGCGTCACTAACTTTTGGGCGCATTAATTCGGGCGATTTAATGATCAATGGTTCACTAATTGCCAAAGGCTTATCACTACGGTTATGTAGTACTGGTTTGAAATACGAGAATGGGTCACACGAGACGTTTCAAAACAGATGAGAGAGACGCGGAGCATCTAAACCCTCTTTCGGTCTACAGGGTCCGACTATGAAACTGCAAATAGATCGCCGACGATCCCTGGGTTTTAGACCTCGAGTTCGCGGATGATGTCGTTGTCGTACTTGGGGATGTCATGAACAAACTTTAACCTAATCGTTTGCAGTCGCCAGAGACACGCGGATGATGTTGATGATGACACCGTGGACAACCTCCAGCCTGTTATCAGTCGCATTAATCGACTTTCCCCGGGCCTTGGGGCTAGAGATCAACACGTCAAAAACAAGACATTTTCGGCCGAAGCTTCTGCCATGAACCCCTCTCGATTGACTGAGAGCTGATAGAATTAACCGAAGTTTTCAAATATCTTGGCTCCACACTCAAACCCAACGGTCAGACTAGGAATGAAATCCAACTGCGTGTAGATGAAGCTAGAAGAGCCTTCCTGCAGCTCCGGAGACTGTTATGGAATCAATGCGAAATAAGCTTCAACACTCAGCTTCAGGTTCATCAGGCTTCCATCCACCCCATCCTCACTTATTGTTGTGAAACATGGCCGATAAGAATGCACAATACAAAGGAGATTGAGGTCTTGAATCAGTGGTGCTTACTCCATATCTCGAAAGCAACTAGGATAGATTGGATTTCCAGTGATGAGAGGTTCGACGGCGCTGCTCAACATCGACAAGTTTTTTAAAATACTACAACGCCAGCGTCCCCAGTGGTTTGGCCGTGTGCATCAAAGACCCGACACTCAACTCTCGCTGCAGGTTACAGCCCCTCCGCCGTACCGTGGCTGGCGTTGCCGACTCGGTGGTCCACTGAAGACCTGGAGCAGTAAAATCAAGGTGAACTTGGAATTACGGGGTCCGGCACTGCGTCAACCGTACCGCCGATAGTCACGCATGGCCCACTATCATTGAAAACATCCAAGAAGCCGGTTTACCCTTCCGCAGGAGTTAGTTGCTCAAAATTAAGGTAAGTAAGTATCTACACCGATCTCATCGCCAATCGCCGCCCCCACAAAACCACCACTCCAAGAAACCAACCAACTCGTCATCTTAGAGTAGATAACCGTAAAAAAATTACAAGACCGTTGCCTTTCCTGTACCGTTTCCCATTTTCATGCAGTTTAATTCACCTTGTTTCCGTTTCCCACTTTTTCAGAATCCTTTTCCTCCACCATTCCACATTAAAAAATAATGTTGGACTTTTTTGTCATACTGACAAAAGGTGGAATCCGGCTATGGTGCTACCCGGCCACGGTGGAAATTTTCCGCATTTCGATCAACACATTTTTGAAATCATTAATCTTGAAAGTGAGTTTCACTTCAATCTAATCGCTCTGTGTGTGTGTGTTTGTGTTTCTAGGAAAATTCCGGCGCTTCTCCTTTCGTGCACAATTCCAGAGCCATCAAAATGTACATGGATAATGAGTTCAATTTGTTGTTTATTGTGAGCATTCTGTTTCTCTCCACGTTGATTTGTCATTTGTAATTCTTCGCAGGCGGCTTATCAGAATGTGTTACAGTTGAATTATGTGGATAAATTTCTAACGGCTATCGCTCTCGAATTCAGAGATAAGTATAAAAACGAACTTGTAACGACAGCAATTCTGTGTAACTTTGACGAATTTCAACCGATCTACTTGGAAACATTGAAGCGTATTGAACTGGAACATCGGACACTTCGGAATATGGCCAAGTATGCGATTTTTACTCCATTTTCCCGATTGTGCTAATAATTGTCCAGACCTATGCGTACTTTTGAACAATCAGACAAAGCGAATAAAACCGTCGCATCCATGATTGTTTCACGAAACAAGAAACCGGTCGAGCGCACCGATCGAAAACCACAAGCAAATAAGACTTCTGTCAACAGTTCACCAACACCAACACCAGCAGCACCTGAACCGGTGATGATCAAACCGGTCAATGGTAGAATAGTTTGTTCTTCTTTCTCAATACTGTACCGCTTGTTTTGTTATTTCTTCCAGGATCCATTGAAGAAGATGTGTATGCACAGAACAGAAAAAAACTGTTAGAAAAAATGAAATCAAAGAAACAGAAAGAGACTGCAAGGTAAGCACAGTGCCACCTCGTTTTTTTTCATCTTCGTTCACGGATCGGACAACCTTCAATCTCACTCACTGTATTAGCCATCGAAAGTTTGATCTTTGTATTAAACCTAATGTGAATTATAGCATTTTTTGCGGGGAGAAATGAGGGCAGAGAAGTACAACATCTGGTGACCGAAATCTAATAAGGATGACTAGGTGCCTGTGTGCGGGATGGACAGATAAATGTTATAGGAACAGGCACTACCGAGGTAAGTTCCGAAGAACGAAAACCAAAGTAGTAACGGTAGAACAGGGACAATGAGACAATTGCCCGATGATGGGCTAGTGACCTCAGAATAGATGTTAGTAAAAGATCATCGATTAGCCGGATGGCTTTTCGTTGAACACGATCAAGAAGGGAAAGTGAAGAAGACGAAGCTCCACCGCACGCGTGACTGCAGTATTCAAGAGTAGGACGGATTTGAGCTTTGTCTAATAGAAGAAGATGAGCTGGGGAGAAGGAGCATCTGACGCGGAATAGAAAAAAACAACCTTGCGCGCAGCACGAGAAGCAAGCTGCGCTATAAAAGGGGACCAGTATAAAAAAGAAGTTATAGGCAATCCAAGAAGGGAAACAGAGTTTATGGAATGCAGTTGGATGAAATCAAAAAATAACTGGGGGTAATGAATGATGTTTTAGAGAAATCGAAAGTGAAAGGTGTTTGAAGCATTGAATGAAACGTGGTTTGCAATGCCCCAAGAGGAAATGTGTTCAAGATCGGAGTCCAGTGACACATTAACTGCACCACGATCACGATCGATTATGGTTTGGGCATGGTGAACGCACCGTTCACCAGGAGAGGGAGCAGTCGCGGGTGGTGTCATCCGCAAAAGAATGAGTCCGGTTGACAGTTTGGGAAAGGAGATCATTTATAAATAGAAAAAAGAGGGTAGAATCAAGTGCTGAACCTTGGGGAACACCAACATTCACAGGGAGCGGCTGAGATAGAACCTGATCGACTCGGACGAAGATGGTTCGCTTACTGCGGAAACTTGATACCCATGCTACAGAAGCCGGACGGTAGTTTCTTCAGTAAACCTTCGTGTCAAACTCGGTCGAACGCCTTTGAGATATCAAGCGGGTTCAAGTGTGTTTCATCTTGGTTATCGAATGCAGCCGACCAGGAATGTGGGACGAGAGCCAGCAGGTCACCGGTGGAAGCCCAACTGGTGGTCACTCAGTAGTGATTCACGTTCAAGGAACGTGCGTAGTTGATCGGAAATGATTATTTTACATGCTATGTTTTCTTGGTAGCTCTTTGGGTGATGGGACGTCTGATTTTTCCTTTTAGCGCTATCTTCATTGATGATCACTGGTAAGAACAGTTCCACTGACCATTCCGCTACACGTACCTTTTATCGATCTAGTAGTGTATTCTATTTTTGATAAGTAGTTTGTGAAAACTCGACATTCATTATCTCTCATCTCTGCTAAGATCGATAACTCCCAATTGCTGTCCATTTAGAGTTCATACAACTTCCATTTTCCCGTTTTTCTTACAATCATTGACCGTGCGGCGGTTTTCATTGTTGATATTCCATAGTGACGTCAGCAGAAAGTCTTGAAATTCAAAGGAATCGATGCCACTCGTGTGATGTCAGGAATTTCGAAATCCATCGTGCTTTTAACGGAGCATAGGATCTATCGTTCCGTTTGGATATGTGCTCCAGAACGAAAGTAATCAGTGTAGCATATGCCATCTAATTCTTCCCGGAGAATACTTGCTATTTTATGACTGTGGATCCAAAGTTTCGGAAAGATACTGTACTTCACCAGCATTGTCATTTAAATACTGGTCAAGATGTTCCTTATTATTTACTAACTATCCAAATGATCGCCCCTATAATTTTCATCTGTCCTTCAGTCCCACAGCATCGCCGGTACAAAAACCTAATGGAAAACGAGTGAAAGAGCTTCGTAAATGGGACAACGCAGCAACCGGTGAAGAGGCTGCCGCACTCGACTTCAGTTCCCCGCCAAACAATGCCACGAACGCTGTCGGCGCTGGTGATCAGAAGGGCTACACAATCTCCACTGCCGAGGCTACCAGTCTGTCACGTCTTCGTGGTACAATGAAAGATGAACTGGAAGAAGTGCAGGTGTCTGACGAGGAGTTTATTCCCGAGGACGAAATCGATGCTTCCAAAGTTGCTAACACGAACCAGGTTGATGCTGTTGAACAGAAAGTGAGTCGGTGATTCATAGTGCACACGCGGCAAGGTTTTCGTTCTCGGTAGTTCACGGAGTTTGGACTAGTCCCACTCTTCCGTGCTCCAATGTAAAATGCATTTGTGACGAGCAATGCTGAGGTTAGGCTTGGAGCAAATGGTCAACCTGCATAGGTCATGCTGGTTAGGACATGTGCTGCGCATGTCACCAAATAAGTTGCCACAGCGAGAGATGTTTGCTGAGGCAGGCAGTAGATGGGAAAAAGTCAAGGGCGATCAAACTATGACCTGGCAAAAGGGTATGAAAACCCTAACCTGGACACTGGGTCACATAGATCCCGTTAGGATGAGAACCATGGCATATGCATTGCGAGTTTAGCAGCGATCAGTGAAGTTCGCTTTCCTGTATTTCGCTGTACGATGCTGAGGAGGAGGATGGAGACCCCAAGATCGGGGTTAGTGGTGGTTAGAGAATTTGTTCTGAACATTCTAATCTTCATTCTGTTCTTTTATCCAAATGAGGAGTCAAAAGATAACAAACAAAACCTGTGCACGCAAATGCACATGATTAATGGTTGTAAAAACTGAACCAAACTGCATTTGTGATGGCCAACAAGAAGCACTGTACAATTGTTCCGTCCTTGTTAGTGTGAACAGTGCTGTGGACCCATGCAGAGATACAAATTTTTTTCTATTCAATAATCGTTGGTTGAATGCGTGTGGTTATACGCTCTCGTCCGTCGGTCGTCAACCGACGACGAGACGAAAACTACAACCCTCTGATCCACATGTCCACGATTGACGTTTCAGCGGTGACCACCAAACTGTGCCTTGTAGAAAAATTCAGACAGCTGTCAAATGCTGTTTGTCGGCCACGATAGCAAATTGGATTAGGCAAATCAAAAAGCATTAGACTTGACTCTTCCCCCCCACCACCACCACCACCATCACTCTTCAGTTGTCATGCTACCTGGACTACTGACATTTTAAACAGTAGACGCTATTTAGAAATTGTTTTAAAAATGGCACCATCATATGAGTCTTTCTCCTTATCGCCTGACCCCGTAAAAGACGAGTAAATCTCATGATCACCACCAAGAATAGCCAAATTTAGTTTCAGAACCTTACAATTTTAGCTGTTGTTTTTTTTAGTTTATTTTTTTATTCTTTTGTTCTTATGAGGTCACACGTATTTGTTATACACATTGTTACGAAATGAGGCACTGGGCAAATCCTTTTGTACGGGTATCGGTGCACATCTTCCATGCAGGTGTTATTTGTTATTTGTCCCAGACGTGTAATCTGTCAACACTGTATGTACTATCTATCTTGTCTGTAGACCGCTTAGAGCATGCATCTTTGAGGGGCATCGTTCTTGTGAACGATGTTCAGGAGAAGAAACAAGCAAAATATGCTTTGAACAAACAGACAGCTAGCCCCGCAGCACCCATCTCAATTCAGATTGGTTCCTGGCAAATTCAGTTCAGTTCAGTTCAGTTCGTACAACCATTAACCATGCACTGTCGTGCACCGGTTTCGGTTGCTGTCCACTTGGATGAACATTAGGAGAAAGACACGAAAGGTTGAAATTACGATCAAAGAGAAAATTTAGAATTTCCGTGGATTAATGTTGCAGAGAACTTGAAAAGATGTACGACACTCAGTCATATCACGCATTGTCTCTAACCGTCGGTTACGATCGTCCCGAGGTCCCCAGCCGGGGAGCCTGACGGAACCTATGTGAACCAGACTCCTGGTTAAGGTTTTAATACCCTCATGCCATAGCTTGACCACCCTCGACTTTCTTCCATCCATTACCTGCCTCGGCGAACACCGCTCGCCGTGGCAACCTATCTGGTGACATGCGTGGCACATGCCCCAACCAAATCATTGGTACGTATCACGATTTAACTAACACGCTCTGTCTGACACTTTATTCCGTTGCACTGTTGCTTCCCGCGTCAAGAGCCAGCTTACTGTCCACGCTTTCTGTTCCAAACACGAACGGCTCGCACGCTTCCATTTCTTTTCTCACTCGCACACAGTCATATATTTACTCTATCCTTGTCACTTTCTGAGCCCAATACCTCTGCCTCTTTCTGTCACCTGTGAACCCCCTTGCGCTCCACTGATTTTGATGTTGGTCTCTTTCCACAGTCATGTTGGCTTGCGCTGCCCCACCCACCCCTTCTAATTGGGATACACGTTCAGTTTCACGGAAGCTGTATGCCTATGCAACGTAATAATCTTTACCGTGCCATCAAGGGTCAGCATCATCGTTTTCATTTATCGTCCCAACAAGGTTTATACGCGCGCTCACTAGGTATAATGAAAAAGTTGCAGTGACTGTGTTAAACAGGTATACCACCGATGAGAGTCACTGTCACATTTGTACCCGTAATAGCCACTTCCGCAGGTACCAGTGTTTATTGCACAAGCACTGAATAGTCACTGATAATCTGTGCCACAAAACGCTATTGAACATTCATGAAACACGCAAATAGTATAGCATGTTCACGCATGCTTTCCGAAATGTACCATTTAATAGCTGTCACAACACTGGACGTCGTATTTAGCACAGGCTGGTTTTTAATATATTTTCACTTTTAATCAATACATAGTGACTCTGTTTTCCGGGGGAAACTGCCAATCAAATTGTGTCGCCATAGAACACAATGGGGAAAGTCAAGTGGCGGTGATGGGATTCAAACACATCGTCCTCCAGGGTGGTAGTTTGGTGACTTTACCACTGGGACACCACCGACCGACGTTTTCTGTCTACGTTAGTTAGCTTGGATGGGGACAATAAGTTCGCGCTTCGGGATTGCGCGCCATGGAGCATGGGGTGGGGACCATTGTACAACAAATCTGGGTGAATGTAAGCTGTGACGATAAAAAAAGGGGGTTCATATTGTATTGTACGCATTTTTTCATTTGGTTCTATACCGGTCGGGTGAGAGGGAGTCACGGATAATCAGAATAACCGTTTTAGTATACTCTCACCACGAGTTTTCACCCCGGGTTATATCACTAAGAGTTCTTAACCCATGACTTTTCGTCCCTCGCCCCCCCCACCCACTGAACTACCTAGAAAGATCAGGCAAGGCATATCCTGCCCTCAACTTAATCACCATCCATCTGCATGGTTTCTTCCAGCCGTTCCCAGAAATTCCAATTAACGGTCGGTGTAAAAGGTAGTGGTATGATGCTCGCGGTTAGGAGACCGATATTGAAATATGTCCGGAAGTTATTTATGCACTCTGATATTCAGCATACCAGTCATTATAGGCCCGCTTTGTCCACCGAATGCTGCCTGCAGACAGATAGACAGTGCGATAAGTTCTACGTCCTTCAATGTTCCGCCTTTTTATCCCTCAGTCAAAGGAAACTTCACACACACGAAAAAAACGCTTATGTTTAATTGCATTATTGGAATGCTGGAAATGCATTCCTCAGGTGCATGTTTTACGTGGCTTTCGCTAACCTACGTCACTTATGGTGCG